AGTAGTCTCACATCTCTTACAAAAGGTTTGGTAGAGTGTTAGTGAATTAGAGCGATGATTTGTTCAGATCTGCTTGCCCACTCAATTGTTCATGTCGAGCAGGATGAACCGTACTCAGAAATTTGGATGCGAGCGTATGCAGTGTCGAGGAGCAGCGATGAGGACGCTCAAGGACAGGTCTTGAATGAGCCCCCTGTGTCAGCTGAATTAGATCACTAATTTCATGTTTTTTTTGGCGCAGTTCGGCTTGGTGGGGCAAAACGTGGTACAGAGAGCAAACCACCTGGTGAAGGCCTCTAAACCCTTGAAACCAAAGCAGCTCTTGTACAATTTTGCACCCTCCCAGGAGCTGGCAGGTCTCACCAATGAGAGATCAGCTAGTTAAGATGAATTAGCAAAAGGAGCTAGTGAAAGTGCAGCACGACCCTCCCAAGCCGAACAGCGTCGTGTAATGTTTTGTAGAGACATTAGCTTATTGTATACTCATATATCTTATTGGTCATTTTGAGCTGTTTTTTGTCTCTTGCTTCCTCATATAGTTTTGTTTTCATTCGCCTATTTTGAAATATTTGTATTCTATTTGCCATTGGCGTAAAACGCCCATGGCGTTGTTGACTCTCAAAATGGTCATCGCTTAACAGTAGATTTGCCTGCTCAAGCGATCTACCTCCTGTGAATACGGTTGTTTTTTTTTTGAGCTCTTTAGGCACCAGCGTAGTTCCCGGAGGAGGACGGGCTGGAGGGGGGGGTCATTTCGCGATTGCTTGACAGTGCCTGCCCTGCGAAACTAGACCGCGGCGGAATCTAATCGTCAGCGCTCTGGTGAGCCTTAGCCTCGTGCTTAGGTGAAGGGATGGACATAGACTCCGCGTCCCCCTCACCCTCCCACCGAACTTACGTTTGCGCCTGCTTTTGTTTTATGATCTGTTTTTTTGCCTTTTGTAGGTTTCACTGTTTTTATCAGCGTTTTTTATTGTTGTTGTTATCGATTTGCTCGAGAGGTTGAACTTCGAGCCTTCTGTGAATGAATGTTTTAGCAGCATTCTTCTGTTACGGCATTTCTGGGGTCGTTCACTCTTTCCTGCGCTGTTAAGTCAGTTAGCGTTCTTTATACCTCAAACCTCATAATAGAGAAATGTGTGAGACCCACGCAAAATCAGATGACACACAAGAGGTATGTGGCAAGACAATCGTAATATGCCGCGGTGGTGCGCGTGAGGAGCGAAGTCGCGCTCGATGGACGAGTTGCCTTAGCTGGCTGATGCGGTTGAGTTTTAAGGGACAAACATCTGGATACATTTCATGCGGTTTTGACTCCTGTTGAATACATACAAGTTTCGCTTCTCCAATCGACAAATAGTTCAAGAGAACTTACCGTGCACCGCCGTTTGATTTGCCGCGCGCGACGGCGCGACAAATTGCGATTATCTTGTGGGCCTCCCATAACGCAAGACGGTGGAAAATCCGCTATCATAAGCTCTAGTATTTCAATTTTCCTCTCATGCGTATTGCTGAATCGGTTGTTCTCGTTTTTGTTTCGTTTTACTGTGGATCTGCTTTGGAGTGTTTCCATTGTGAGTAGCATTTCAGCTTAATCCCTATTTAACTTTTTCTTATGTTCGAATTTTGATACTTCCAAGTGCTCAGCATACTAGACGACAGGCTTTGTTCATTCCATAGAGTCGAAGAAAAGTCGGATGAGAGACTACGGCTCCTTCTAGATTGAACCATATCGTTGATATCGTTGCAGTCCGGCGCGGCCGGGTGACGAGGCATGGAAATGGAACGAACCCGCCCGCGGCTGCGGTTTCTCCCAAGGTTTCAGGTAGAAAAACGCTACGAGTGAGTTCATTCCATGCCTCCAGGAACCACCTCGCGACGCGACTCGAATTGTGACGCTACCAACTGTACATATGTAATTTCACGCAGATGCGAGGAACGAACTGAATCTCAAGAAGATTATCGACCGTGGATTGGTAATGTGTCCAGCGGGCGTTACGAATTGCTTGTACGTTGCTTGTAAAGTAGTTTTGCTTGATCTTAGCTGTCGAGTTAATGGGTTGAAATGTCACCGATAGGTGCCAAATCTGCATTGTATCGCTCATAGGGAAGTCTGAAGGTACGCCCATAGAACTTCATGCGACGTCAAGGACTCGTCATCCAGTTAGCGATCTTCTGAGGCAAGTGACACGATAAATCAACAAGGCGTACAGGGCCAATACGCCGAGCACGAAAGAATATAGTGCACCCAGCAGGCGCTGCGTGACGCCATTTCCAGCAAAGGACACCGTTATAGCGCCTAACCAAGGTGCAACATGCCGACCCACACGCCCATCGCAACCGCCCGCCCACAAATGGTCCGACAGTCACATCACAGACGCTGGTACTCTTATCGCTTCGTTTATGAAGTACAATTAATATGAAGCGTTTCTGCATGGGTATACGAATACACCCGTATCTATCGAAGCGGTTGTTGGCACGATGCTAACGGGAAGCTCGTCCGAAAATGGCCTTCCAGTGCCACGCACAACAAAGTTTTTTTTCGCAAGTTTTTGGCCCTTTACATTCGCTTTTTCGTCATTTTCCCACCATGCAGCACCCCTGCTACTATTTCCGAGCAAGTACCAAGTTATCGTGCCTCGTGCCTTCAATGAGTAATAGGCTGGCGGGTAATAGGTCCACTGCCGGTTGACTAGTATATTATCAGCGCCCGCGTACCTCCTACTTTCAGCCTTTAATTGAACAGAATAGATGGGTTATGGATACTGTCCAAAGCAGAGGTGCTGCTGTAATGGGGAAAATGGCGGAAAAGCGATGTGAAGCGGGTGAAACCTGCAAAAAGCCTCTTGTTCTACACGATTCAGAAAGCGATTTTGGACGAGTTCCCGTTGGCATCGTGCCAGTAACCGCTACGGTAGATACGGCTGCATGTATGTACTCATATATCCATGCAGCACCGCAGCCGCTTCATATCAATCCTTCGCTTCAAATTGTACTTCGCCAATGGAGCGATACCATCAGCATCGGTCGGACATTTGTGGGCGGGCGAGCGTGGTGGGCATCCGTGTCTGTATATTGTGACTTGATAGGGCGCTGTTAGGGCACTTACCTTGAAAAGGCGCTACGCAGCGCCTGCTCAGAAGCGCTGATATGTGTCCTGCTATGCGTATTAATCCTAGACGTCTTGGGGATTTATAATGCCACCTGCCTTTAACTCTTGATAGTCACTAAAATGCGGTTTTGTGGTGAGGATGTATTGTTGGGTATTTTCAGCTACTATCCAAAACGGCAGTGCATTGGGAAACGATATGGGATAGCGTACACGATTACAGGTTGCCTGCAAGATCGAACTTTTTGCGATGTGAGCTGGGTTTGCTTTTCGAATTTGGTTACAATTTCGGTGACAAGGTACCCGACGGAGGTCTCCTCTTCATTTT